CCCCTGTGCTCTGGCCTTGACTTGCTGCGCCTGCTGAGAGCACTCAGCCTGCAGGCACCAAGCTGCAGCCCTCGGTGAGGCCATCCAGCAACTCCTCATGGCCTGGCCTGCAAATTTGTCCTTTGGCACCGGGTGGGCACCCACTGTCCCACCCTCCTCCCATCCTCACACCCTGCATCAAAGACTTGGAGACAAGTCCATGTGGCTTCTTTCCCTGGCTTGGCCCCCCTCCAGCCTCCTCCCTCCCATACAGGGGATGCTGCTTCTCCCCCCTCACCCTTCCCCGCACACCCCCATCTCCCCCCTCTGTTTTCCTCCCCGGGGCCATAGGCAGGTGCACACACCTCTGCTTTCCCACCGCCCTGCGCTGCTCAGGGCTGGGCTGCTGCCAGAGAGGGATGCGCTGCCTCTCGCCTGGCCTGGCCATCACCTGAGGGCATGGAAAGGGGAGGTGGGCGTGCTGCATTTATGGATCAGAATGGGGCTGCATGGCCGGCGCTGGGCAGTGCAAAGCCCTGGGATCACGCTCCCATGTGCTCCCTTCGCAGAGGGACCCAAGCCCTGCACTGATCTGGGCACCCTGGGATAGGGATCTCTGCAAAGTGGGACCCCAGCTCCGGGCTTCTTGTCCAACACAGCAGGACAGGAGGGCATGGTGGTGCTGCTCCTGCTGGCTTTGCCTTTCTCCACATTCGTGGCTCTGCAGCTCATGGTGCTGGTGCAGCAGGGATGGAACTGCAGCTCTGAGCTCTCCTGTTCAGGAACTGCATCCACAGGGTATAGGCAAAGCCCAGCACTTCCCAGTCCCTCCTCCTGCTAAGAGCCCTTCCTCCACTCAGCCACGACCTGGCAGCAAAGGCAGTGTTTCACTCCTATGTCAACATTTGGAATTAAAAAGGGAGAAAATAGTCATTTCTGTCAAACCCTGGGAATGTGGATGTCCCACAAACAAACAGAAGCTCTGTTTCTGCACTGAAAGACCGTTTTAAATCTGGTCGGCAGCCAAAAAGTGATAAAAATGATTGCTGTTCCGGCACTAGAGAAGAGTTCTGTTGGAAATGTCACCCCCCCACGCACCCTCCCCCCAAATCTCACTGTTATGAAAACACCATTTTTTATCAGGAGGCCGGCAGGCAGATGTTTGGCCCAGACCCCACCGGAGCCAGATGCACCCAAACCACCACCATTCCCAGCCCCCTCCGTGTCACCATCTGATGGACAGCTGTCAGTCACCACTCATAGGGGCTGAGACACAACTGCTCTCCGTGTGTCACCTCCCAGGTGCCATGGGGATCCTGTGGCTCGTGGGCTTTTCTATGGGCATTCACCCTTGCAGGGGTCTCCCCGTCATCTTGCAGCAAAGTGGCGAGTGCCCTTGATGGGGCATTGAGGGATGGCTGCAGTGGCTGTGGTGGGGGATCAGGAGACAGATGGCTGAGCTGGGGGATCAGGACAGAAGTGTCACAGCTCTGCTGGGCCCAGCCATGCTGGGCTGCTGTGTGATAGCTGCCTCCAGAGAGCGTGGAAGGGAGGATGCTCTCCTGCACGCATGGTGCTTTAAGGAGGGCACAGGGAAGGGAGGGTGTTGTGTCACTACGAGTCAGGCTTGCTGGGGCTCGTCTCCTGTTTATTTATGAACGGTGGCAGGTTTCCAGCAAGTTGTTTTCATGGTGTAACATTAAACTCCCAACCTTTTGTTCCTAGGTATCGCCCAGCTCAGGTACAACAGCTCCAGCCAGGACAGCATCGAGCCCTTCAGTGGGGTAGGACAGGGGCAGAGGACAGCTCAGCAACATGCAAAAGCACAAAGAGAGCTCCAAACATCCCCTGTGCTGGCGCTGACACGGATGGTTGGGGCTTTCCATGATGATCCTGCTTTTGGCTCGCCCTCGCCCTGGGGCAGCGCAGTGCTGGTGGGGACATGGGACGTGCCAGACATGCAGCCAAAGGCCATGCCAGCCACGGGGTTGGGCACTGCTGGCATTGCTTGTGATGCTTGCAAGGAGAACATGGATGGGCTGCTGCTCTCACCTTGCTCAATCCGTGGCTGTGCAATTCAGGGCACGTGCCCAGGCGCAGCGCTGCCCTGTGCCGCCGCTCCACGGGATGAAAATCCCACGGTGTGAGGCTCCTGGGCAGGTGGAGCGCCTGGAGGCACCATTCCCATCCCAAACCACACGTGTCCCTGCTTCGAGATGGAGGTGAGAGCAAAACCTCCGGCGCTGAGCGGAAACACGCGTTTGCTGGGAGCGCTGGAGGCAAAGAGTGCGTGTTGAGCTTCTAAGGCGTGTGGCTTTTGCTTTTGCACACGCAGACAAAAATAACAACAGGAAACACAGGCAGGCTCCCAATTAATTGATAGCGCACCCCGTTCCCCGGGTGGATCTGCATCCCTGTTTCTGGGCTGCCTGAAGGCTCTCCTTGCCCCAAGCAGCCGCTCTTCAAGGAAATTGATTTTCAAGCAGGCTGCGCCTTTTTTGTTCGATTCCTTCAGGCTGTGGCTCAGTCTCACTTTCATTTAGGAAAAAATACCATTTTTTACAATTGCAGCTTCACTTAGAAAAGTCACATAGGCCTGGACCAGCAGAAAGGGCTCTTCTCCAAAGTGCTGAGCTTTGTCCTTCGTGTTTTTCTCTCTCCTTAGAGAGCGTGGAGGGACACAGGGCCATGATGGGGACCTGTCCCAGAGCTCCTGCCCGCACCAAACCCTGCACGAGGCAGCATGCAGTGCTCCTCGGCTGCAGCAGGGAGCTGGCTTATGCCCGGACATGTACCACAACCTGCTGGGAGATGAGGGCTGGTTGCTGCTCTGCAGCACTGGAGAGAGTAGTAGAATGCAATGCTCGGAGCATCTCTACAAGGATCAGGTTGGAAGGATCAGAATTAAGGGTTATTTCATTGCCTGTTTAAAAGCAACACATGTGAGTTGCCTCTGCTGCATCTTCCATCTCCCGCAGCTGGTCTTCAGCTGCACCCCAGCTGATCCCAGCCCCGAGCTGCCCCTGACCATGGAGATGGATAGACACTGCAGAGGTGATTCTGCTGGTGGAGCTTTGCTTATTTCCTTCCCAACTGGCCACTTTGGGGGGCCCAGCCCAACCCATTGCTCTACCATGGGCAATGCAGTGCCTGCAGGGCTGTGCCTGCTGCCGGCCACGGGGGAGGAGTGTGGGCATCATCCGGCCCCTGGTCGCCCATGGGCAGCTCCATGCCCAACATGTGCATGCAAGCCCGAGCTGAGCAACTTGCCACGTGGAGAGATGGAGGAACCCAAAAATCCCAACTTCACCATAAAAATATCAATCATCTCTAAACATCCGTGCGCCGCTGATCCTTCTCTCCCTGCTCGGTATTTTCTCACGCTCTGAAGCTGGCAGCAGGCGCTGGGAAGCAGTGTTGGAACTTGTCCTGCTGTCCCATCAAGGCTGGTTATCTCCAGCATCGAGCCCTACAGCTGGAAGGGCTGCAAGTAGGGGCAAGGCACGCTCCTGCTTGCCGCTTTCCATTGCGTCACTTGGACAAGAACTGAGTGAATGCCCCAGGGCCAGATCCCACACACAGCACCTTGCCTGGTCCTGCACAACACAGCAGGTCCTGGCAGCCCCACGCTACCAGGACGCAGGGACCCTAATGATGCCCTCAAGCATCACTGGGAGCCCTCCCTCACCTTCCCTTCCCGACAGCTTGTATGGAGCTGGTGTATGTCCAGCTTCCCAAAAGTCATCGTGTCTAAGGGCTGCACCCTTGGACGTGATTTCTGCTTCCTGGTGGGGATGAGGAAGCCTCTTGGCAACCACCTTTGGGGCAGAGCATGGCCCGAGCTCCCACCAGGGCAGTGGAGACAGGAAGGGATTGTCACCTTTCCAGGGACAGCTGCATTGGTTGGAGACAGGGAGGCACCTGTCCACAGCATGCAAGACACAGCCCAACACGGTGTGCTCAGTGTGGGATCCTGCTCGGAGTGAGCCTGCTTAATTAAAGTAATCACGAGGCAAGTTGCTCCCTTGCCCCTCCCTTGCCTGTTCCTCCATGAACCAATGGGTTTGAAAACCCAGCTGGCTCCATGCTCTCCTCCTACTGCGGCACTGCAGCCTCTGTGAACAGCAGCCTGCAGAGCTCATGCTGTGGCCTCTGTGGGCTCCTTGCTTGTACCAGCACGTGGCCAGAATGGCATAGCATGGCACAGTACGTACAGTTTCACTTGGCATGGCACAGAACAGCACATGACATGATGGGATAGCACACTGTGGGGTGGCACAGCATGGCAGGGCAGAGCCACAGGCATAAGGTGGGTCAGTGCAGCCTGGGGAGGGCACACCTTGGGCTCACATTCTCCATCACAAGGAGTTCAGTGCCCAGCGCTGGTTTCCTGCCTGGCCCACATTGCCACCTGAGGTTGTGGAGATCATAGTGTGATCATTGCTGTCACTAGCACTACAAGACCCACATCTCTGATCCTTGCCACCTCTTTCTATGTCTCAGGACAGGGACATGGCCCAGCCCATGGCTCTGCTGTCGGACCTGGGAGCTGTAGGGCATGGAGGTGCCTGCTGGATTGAGCTCCCTTCTCCCCAAGAAGAGGAGGAGAGCAGCGAGGCAGGAAACCAGCGAACTTCCTACATACCCAAAGCGTTTCTCCTGTGTGGATGATCTGCTGTCTAATAAGAGGCTGAGCTCCCCTTTGCAGTCTGAGGTGACACCAGCAGCAACATTGTCACCTCTCCGACCTCATGTTATGCCACCTATGTGCACAGCAGTCACTGGCAGAGGCTCCTCTGAGGCCATTTCTCAATTTGTCTTTAGCCAGCACAGTGCTTGCTCTTCTAACAGACAAAATAGTTTTGTTTCACGTCCCCCAGGCCACGGTCACTCAGTGGGTTTGCAGTGGGACGGCCTTTCCCGTCCTTAGAAACGGCTGAGTGCTGTAAAAAAAAAATCCTCTAAGTGGTACGAAAAAAAAGAAAGAAAGGAAAAAAAAAGGCAAAGCTGCAGATGTTTGTTTACTCCCAATAATTTCCCGTTTTGGTCATTTCCCGGCTCACTCGGGTGGGAGCCTCTACAAGCAGCATCACATCCGTGCCGGGCTGTGCTGCACTGCAGCGCGGGGTGAGGAGCGCGGGATGCAGGGAGCGGAGATCTGCTGGGCAGGAAGGATGAGAAGCCAACAAAATCAGGCTGTGCTGATGGCAAGGAACCAAACGTCCCTCTGCGCCCTGACCTTCATTGTGTGGGGAAGGAGGGAGAGCTGCCACTGAGAAAACGTGATAAGGATGGCCAGCAGGATGGGCAGCCGGCGGCGCGGTTTTGTGCTGCGTGTGCATGCAGTCGGCTGGCGATCGCGTGCGGCGAGCTTGGCTGCGCTCAGCAGAGCGGTGAGTGCTGGGTGCTGCAGCAGCTGGGGGTGCATCGCTGCATCCTGCAATTCTGCAGCTGGGAGAGGGGCTGGAGGAGACGCAGAGCTGCTGGAGGAGGCAGGAATGGGGAGCAGAGGGGAGATGCTGAGCTGGAGGGCACGGCTGTCTGCAGTGGCTCTGCCCCTTCCCCAGAACGGGGGAACCCAGGAGGTTCTTTCTCTCAGGTGGGAGGCTGCCCCACACCCAGCCACGGGCTGCACTGCCAGCTCGGGGGGTAGGACTGGAAGCAGGGGGGCCAAGAGGTGTCCCCTCCCCGAGGGCTGTGCCTGCACAGCAAACGGCACAATTAGGGCCGAGGTTTAACTGAGCGCTAATTTGACATCTGGCGATTTGATCGGGCTGAAGAAACTGTTTACATTCACCTTCCACTATGTTTGGTTTGCGATAGCAGCAGAACAGAAGGCGATGCTGCGGGTGTCCTGTTCTCAGAGCTTTTATGGGGGTTTCCTATGAGAAAAGCAGAGATAGGGCTGAGCCTGGCAGCCGCCCATCCAGGCCTTTTTCTCCCAATTTTTATTTCTCTCCGTTTAGCCTTTGCCTCATCTCAAATAAAAAGAGTGATTTAAAGCTCTTCGCAATAAAACAGTTTAAACAGAAGTCAGTCCGGAGTGCTGCATAACAGGGGAGAAGGCTTTTGTTATTTACTTAATTACAGGCTGATGTTTGTCAAGTACTTGTGGGTGAATTGCTTGCAAATAACAGGTGAGTTTACTCTTGCTCGGAGCCCTGAGCCCTGAGATTACAGCTGGGTGTGGAGGCAGGAGGGTGCTGGGGCTGCGGGTGGCCTCCAGCAGATCCTCGTTGCTGGGGCTGGGTGGTGTGGTTGGGGTGCAGAGCCCCTCGGGGGTCATTTGTCTGGTCTCACACACGGCAGCTTCTCCTTTTGTAACCTACAGATCAGACTTAACTATTTATGGAGTCACTTTGGAAAATGTAGCACATCAATGGGAGAGAGCGGAGGCTGCTTTGGAGTGCCTGGATTTTTGGTGCTTGGCTTGCAAATGCATCCTGACCTCCTGGAGGTCTTTGGGGCTCTAAAAGGGCACCTGAAGCTGCTGAGAGTGGAAACGGCTGCCAGGTGCTTGGCTAATGCAATGGAGAGCATAGGTGGGTCCTGCCTTCCATATTCATGGAATTGGGAATGGGCCACAGCTGGTCCCAGCCATTTCTGTGACATCCCAACACCCGGGCATGGGCACCTCTCCTTTGTGTCCAGGCTAATGGAAACCACAGCTGCCCTGCCTGCACAGAGCAGGGAACACAGTTTCAGCAGAAAAAACAACGTGCAGGAGTTAAAAACAATCCCTGCTGCCACTTCTTCCCTCATCACAGGATACCGAGAGCAAAAACCCAGCTGCTCGGGTGAAGGAGCATTCCCAAAGCTTCGCCAGCAAGCGAAGACATCTGAAACGGAGACAGAGAGCAAAGCGACGAGGAGCACATCAAAGACAAGAGCTCCATCTCCACCTCTCGCCCTGCTCAACCCCACGGACACGTGGCTGTGTGCAGCACGAGGGGGTGAAGGAGCTGCCCACCGTGCACCTGGTGCAGGTGCTGGGCTGAGAGCAGAGGGAGCTGCCCCGACACGGGGTGATTCAGATCCAAACCACGCAGAGCCCACTGCACTCCACCAGAGCTCTCGACTCGCTGCTTCGCCCGCGCTTGCATGCTGTGCTGGGGCTGATAGGGAGCCGGCACAGAGCCACGGGTGATCCCTCACCGTGATCCGGAGTGTGGGAAAAACACAATCGCTGCAAACAATCAGAGGCAAAGCCAGCAGCAGCACGCAGAGAGGAATTCGGAGGCGCATTCCAGCAGGGATGACAGAGAAGGGGCTGGGAGCTCAAAAAAGAAACGTGCTGCGATCCGTTTTGTTTTGCTTTTTTTCCCCCCCCTCTCTGCAGCACCATCACACCCTGCTCAGCTTTCGAGTAAAGCTGCTGCATGCTGCAGAGTGGCACAGCAGGCAGCCGGAGCGTTCTGTGTCTCCAGCAGAGCAATGGAAGAGCACCTCTCTGCACCTTCCAGGCCTACAGAGAGCAGCTCTGGGCATGTGGACTGCAGGCAGGACTGCTGGCAATGGGAGATGTGGTGGCCGGTGTCACCGCTACTCAAGGCAGCAGATCCCCTGCACAAAGCATGCTGCCTTCCCAGCTCCTCCTGACCCACTTTCCACATGGCACAATTAAAGCAAAGCAAAACAGAGCAGGAGGAGGGGACTCTGCAGGGCTGGCACAGGCGTTGTGTGGGGACCAGCACAGGCCAACACACAGGGCAAAGAGCATGGAAGTTCCAGGGAGCACAACCACAACTTGGGCACAAATTTACAGCCTCCTCCTCAGTGCCCACCTCCCTGCCACCTGCCCTCTTCTCACAGCGGTGCCTGATGGGCAGAGGGTCCTTCAGTGGCACAAGTAAGGGATAATTGTGCGAGGTGCAGGGTGCCTGGTGCTGTATTTCACTCATTGCTTCAGGCAGAGCAGCCATCCGGGAGCTAAAAGCATTCAATTGCTCACTGATGCTTTTCTTTGAAGCCCGCATTCATCCTCCAAGGTCTGTATTGATTGGGGACTCCAGGAAAGCATCTGCCCTTCTCTGCCTTCATCAATGACTTTCCCACATTAATCCACCTCTTCCCTTGATAACCACACTAATTACTCTCAGCTAAGTTGACTCTGGCAGATCACAGGAGGATGAGAAGAGCAACCTGCTCTGCAGCCGGGCTGTGCCTTAAAGCTGCAGATTCCTGCCCTGGAGTGGCCCATTGCCCCAGAGAGAACTGGTTGCACTGGGAGTGTGAGCACTGTGCCATGGGGCCGGCAGTGGGGCAGCACTAAAATCCACCAGGGCCACGCTGGGGATGCATGCAGCTGAGCGAGGGGGTTTGCTTTTCACCTGGGGAGCTTCTGTGCTCCAAGGGAAACACCAATGGTTTCACATGGATGGGGACAGCAGACCCTGGCCCACTGGGTGCACATCCACACCCCCTGCATCCAACAGGTGCTATGAATGAAGGGCTTCCCGTTGTGCTGCAGGGTGTTTTAGATCACCCTGCAGGTTCACACCCTCCAGCCTGGGGTGGTCTAGGAATGAAATAAGTTACCCTTCACTTCTTCCCCTGGGTTTCCTTGAAGGGGGAACAAGATGTGCAGATCTCTGAGCTCTTCCATTCTCAACCACAGCAAGATGGCATCAAGAACAGAAGCAGCCCTGCAGGGATGGACTGTGCAACGGGAAGGAAGGCTGGGTGGGATGGGGGGGAGGTGGAGATGGTGACAATTAGGCACACTCAGATGTCCTATTGCTTTCCACATCTCAACCTGTGCACCCAGAATAGGAGTGGTCAGAAACACGACAAAATGATGTGGCTAATGGGTGTGAAACCCTGAGAAATTCTACTCCTGTCCCGTACCTGCTGCCTTCACTTGGAAAGATGCAGTAAATTTAAAAGTATGTCAATCTAGCAAGGGGAGGGAATTGTTTTATCCTGACACAAGTCAGCGCCTGAGCCAGAAGATAACAGCTTTAGGGCTCCCACAGTAAAAGCTTCCCTGGATCTTCCAACCCAAAGCCCATCTTTCTGTTTCTCTCCAGAAAACAGCATTTTGCTCATGATGTTAATGTACACCGCAGGAATTCAGCTGTCCAGCAGGTGAGAGCAGCCTCTACTGCTCTGACATTCAGAGCCTCCTGTCCTTTTCCTCACCTAGTAGAAAAAGTAGCTCTTCAGGCTGCAATAAACTCAGACTTGAAATTAAAAAAAGAGCAGAAGCAAAGCTTGCAGAAAAGAGAACCATGAGTACATGCAAGGAGTCCTGGGGCCATAAAATGGCTGCTGAGCTGGTGGTGATGAGGGACAGCCCCATCAGGTGAGGCTGCAGTGAGCAGGGAAGCCTCCTACCCCAGTGCACGAGGTCTCTCATGTCTCTGTTTAGATTGCAACACAGGCTCCCCTTGTCCATCCCTGCCTGCCATCTGCTGCCCTGGGCAATGGAGGAGGCACCCCGTGCCAGGGGGAACACCCGGCAACATGGGGTCCCTGTGGGGTCTGGAGGTCCCCGTGGTTGGATGGAGGGCGCTGTGCCCCATAGAAGCCTGTGGGGCTGGGCAGGGTGAGTGCTCCCCTCCATGCTGCTGTCGCCATGGCAGTGTGGGTCTTGCTGCCTTCACAACCTGGTGCAAAGCACTGCTCTGCACCTAAACTGGCTGGGAATCACGGCAGGGGCGACCCCACACGTCCTCATTCTCCCCAAAGAGGCTGCAGGGTGCATGACCCAGCCCCACATGCGCCCCTCTGCACCCAGATTTCTTGCCCCATACTGGTGCTTATAGAAACACGGGGTGACCGTGGAAGACACAAAAGCCCCTCGAGAAGCCCTATAAGGACAAGGGAAGCCCCCCAGCAGCCCCATGGGGCTTAGCCCCTTCAGCTGCCCCCACCAGCCCTGGAGGCCATTCCTGAGGCACTGTCGCCATCTAGCGACACGCACCGGGTCGCCCGCAGGACGCTGGTGATCCCACGCCCATCGCTGCCCCCATCATCTACCAGCCCTTGAAGGGGCGAGGGGCTGTGAGGGCAGAGCTGGAGATGGGCAGAAGGGAATGGCGTTCTATGGGTGACATAGAATCATTAAGGTTGGAAAAGACCTCTAAGACCCCCAGGTCCAGCCCCAACCCATGCCCATGTCCCTCAGTGCCACATGCTCACCTTTCTGGAACACCACCAGGGACAAAGATCCCCCCCCCCTTCCCCTGAGCAGCCTGTGCAAATAATTCACCACTCTTTCAGATAAGAAACTCTTCCTAATATCCAGCCTGATATGACTGTGTGGTTGTCCCATGCCATCAGAACATCTTTAACTCCTCAAACATCTGAACTTTGCCTCCATCTCTGAACATGGAACAAAAGCGTTGGCCATCCCAGCAGCTGCAGGAGATCCATCTCCCATCTCCCTCCTCCATCTTCCTCTCACTGGCTGCTCAGAAAAGGGATTGAGCCTTGCCTGCCACATATGAAAAGCCCCTGCCTCCCTTGTGTTTTGTGAAGGAAAATCTCCTTGGGAGAGCAGCCAAATGTTCCCAGCTTCCCACTGGGTGTCTCAGAATACTGGGGCCATGGCAGCCCTCATGGTCCAGGGGGAGCATGTCAGAGATGCTGGAGGGTGAGACAAGAACATCTTTGCTTTGCATCAGTAGCCAGAGCCTGCACTGTGTCTGTTGCCTCAAGAGATGGAGTGTCACCACTGGGCTGGGAGTGCTGAGCCCCACGTACATCCCACCATCAGAGACATGTGGGTTCAGCTGTGAGCTGGACATTGGCTGTGCCTGCAGGCACTGGGAAGGGTCCCATCCCCCCAGCACGAGATGGGCTCTGTGCTGTGCCATGCTGGGTCTGCGCCACATCTGGCTCCATTTCCTCCTTTACCATCACCAAGCTTCTTCCCTCCTTTTCTTTTTGCTGTTTCCGAGTGGTTTTCTCCCTCACCTCCTTTGGACCACAGCCTCATGCACTGGAGACCTTTCAGACCCAACAACTCTTTCAAACACAGCCAGGAGAGCCCCAGGGCTCCATCCTGCCAAATCAAACTCAAATTTGCAGCTGCTATGCAAACATAATAGTTGTGTATGCGGGGGCTCTGCCGGCACGCAGAGCAAATAAACAGTAACACATGGCAGAGCCTAGAAGAGCAATAACCTCTGCTGCAGCTAAGCCTTGAGGCCAGGAGCTGGAGTTTGCAGAGGGCTTTCAAAGAGTAGCACCCAAAGTGAATTAAGCACACCTGACCACTGCTGCATTGCATACTGCTGTCCTGAGCCCTCAGCAGCAATAGCAGGGCTGCTCTGAGCAACAAATGGGTGTTTGTAGACTGTAGCTGCACTAAAAGACACACAAAGTTCAGACATGGTTAGGCCCAATGACAACTTTCCTATTTCCTTCTTGGATTCACTTTGCTCGCATGCTCCACGTGAAGTGAGAACTCCCCCTTACTTACTAGAGGTTATTTAATAGCCATCAAAACTTTTCTTTCCTTCCCTCCTTCTCTCTCTTTAAGCTGGGACCATCAGAGAAATCGCCACTTCCCAAAGCACATTTCGTGTCTGAAAATGATGAAACAAACCATCTGGCAGCTCCAAAAAGAATCTTTTCATTGGCAGGCACTGACGCAAAGCACTCCAATGTTTATATTCCATCTATCTTTCTTCCTCTTCCTACACGAAAGCCACAGTCTCAACCCAACCTGCCTACGAAGGCACCCCAGTCATTGCCAGACACTGAATTTATTCCTCTGGCTGAGCAATGTGCTCCCAAAGCACTCAGCTCTGCAGCTCTCCCACTCCACCTTCCTGTCACCCAGTGGTGCTGCTTCTCTTTGCTCCGTGCATCTCCCCCTTGAAGCTTTCCAAAACGTGATCAGTGTAGGAGCACTCCTGAGGCTGAGAACAATGCCTAAAAAGCCCTCTGACCCCCTCAGCACTCTCCTGCTGCCTCCCACAGCCCAGGCATTGTGAGTTTGCTGCGATCCCCAAAGCCCTCATCCATTTTCTGATACCAGCAGCTCTAAGGCGTGCACCAGTGGCCGCAGCGGGGTGTGCTTCTCCTTCCTAAGCATGCAGGCAGACACAGGCTGCGTGTACAGGCAGCATCCCCCCCCACAACTGCACGTTCCCAGCCCTCAGCCTTGCTTCCTCCTCCCCATCACATCTATATTTAGTCCCAGACACAGCAGAACGCTGCGCGCAGCTCCTGCAGAGCGCCTGGCAGGATCAGGGCTGGGATTACTTATGGTAATTCCTCGTGCTGGGAACACCCCGTTAGCGTTAATAACGAGGAACGAGGACAGTTCAGGCAGCACAAAAAATGATCAACCCCCGCCGTGCTGAGGGCTGTGCAAAAGGCTTGCCTCCATGTGAGCCAGCAGCCCTTGGCCGATGGGAACGAGCCAAGGAAAACCTCCCACGGCTGCTGGAGGAGGGCAGGAGGAGGCAAGGGGACCAGGGCCCCACCGAGCTTCCTCTGATCTGCCTGGGTGTCCCCACGTTGCGCCCGAGCTCCTGCATGGCCCTGGAACGGCCACCACCTATCATGTCACCATACTGTGATGGCCACCCCCTCGTCCCACAGCCCAGGAATGTCTTTGGGGGAGTGCATTCTCCCACGTTACTCTTTCACATCAAGGGCAAAAGAAAAGGCAGATAAGGGTTGCATGGGATGGCTCACTTTCCCTTCACATCAAAGCCTGGCGTTTATCTCCAGGGGCCCAGCTGGGTGTGTGGAGCTCCTCGTGTCTCCTTCTGGGCAGGCTGGGAGGGGAAGAGGTCAGGCTCTGTTTCTCCCGGTTCCTTGGCTGAAGTTGGAGGGGTTTAAGCAGTGAGCAGAGCTGCAGCAGCCCTGCTGTCACTGCTCTGAACCCAGGTCCCCTACAGTGACCAAACCTTGCTAAAGACTACAGCTGTGTGGAACGACCTTAGTGCCATGAGCCAAGGTGAGAAGGGATGCCTGCTTTGCCTCCTGCCCCACTTCAGGAGTCCATGAACATATCTGAGTCCTTTCCATTATCTAATGAGACTGGTGATGTCCTAGAGACATAAAGCTAAGTACACTATTAGCTAGTGAGGCATGGGGCAAGTCTGTGCTGCAGGGAGCAGCAAGCAGCTGGGGGAACTGATGGCTGCGGGTGCAGGCAAGGTTGTGGTAGTCAGAGAAGCTCTTCCCCCTGGTAAGAAAGGCTTTGAGAGGTCCTGGAGGCTTCTAAGTGCAGGGGCCCTCTGGCAGTAAGGAGATGGATGGGTTTGATGCATGAAGGAGGCAGCAGGGGGAGAAGTCATCGTATTTGGGAAAGGGGTTAAAAAGTCAACATCTTTCCTCATCCCAGCTCCTCAGGGGCAGAGGGAGTTTCCCAAGGTTATCAGTGGGGGTCAATAGCAGGGAAGAAGGAAATGAGAGGCTGGGACTCAGGGCATGGCCAACACCATATGGACATAGCGAGGGACACCCTCTGACCAGCTGCTGTCAGCATCAGAGGATGTAAAGTCAGCAGCATCATCTCAGGGTGCACTTCGCATAACGACACCCCACATCATGATGTAGAGCACAGCAATGGCAGCAGAGTAACACAGTCCTAGACTGCAGCAAGCAAGGATACAACAAATGCAACAGCTGTTGACGCAGAAACAACTGAAAGAATCCACTTACCTTCAGAAGGCCTCAGGCTTGCAAGGATCTCCAGCAAGATGCCCTTGCTTCCACCACCAACCCTTAAATGAGGTCTGGGCAGGGGTGGATCCTGGCTCCAGCCCTTCTGGTCACTCAGGGCATTGAATACACCTGAGCTGCCCTGGGTTGGCCCTGCCTTCCCACCAGGTGCTCAATCACTGCTTCAAGCCCTGACTTAGCATTTCTGCTACACATCCTTACTTCAATCCCCAGCAGTTCTATGGGGAAGGGCCCTAGTGTGCACTGTG